TTGTTGTTGTTGTTGTTTTTAAAAATACAAATATTTACATACGCGTGTATACACACACACACACACACACACAAATCGATCTACCAAAAAAAAATATTTTTATGAATATTTTATTGATTTTTTTTTCGTTCTTGAAAATAAAAAAAAAAATAATAATAATTATCTCTTCGATTACAGAATCTATTAAAAAAAATATATATATACACGGTAGCCAACATAATAAAAAAAAAAAAAAAAAGTAATACGATTTTTTTTTTTTTTACTGGCGAAAAAAAACTAATAATTTCAAGGTTTTTTTTTTTTTTATTAATAAAATTTTAATTAGATAAAGTAAAGTAAAGTAAAAAAAATTAATTATGTTTAACTAAAGTAAAAGTAGAATAATTTAAAGTGATCGTGCAAAAATCAAAGGTTGTACCTTAAGGGTAGAAAAAAAACCTAATAATAATAATAATAATACATCATAAAAATTAAAAACATTTCCTTTAAACGTTACAAAATGTCTACCATAACGTATAGGTAGAGAGAGAGAGAGAGAGAGAGAGAGAGAGGTACTCGCAGTTTTCGTGTTAGAATTTTTTTCTTTTTTTTTTTTTTTTTAAATAAAATGGGGGGCGCTGTAACGTATGGAAAAATTCTAGAAAGTTTTTAAAACCTGGGTATTCGTTTTCTACACCATTATATATATATTTTCACTTTTGTAAATCCGGTTTATTATCATTATCATTATTATTATTATTATTAAATTATTATGATTTTACGTAAAAATTTTATTATTATTATTATTACTACTCGCCTCATATCTCGATTTCGATGATGATGATGATGATTATGGATTGACAAACCAAACCAAACGAAAAAATATACGGAATTGACTTGATGATGATAATAATAATAATAATAAATAATAATAATAATATTTTTTACGTCATAAATGTCAACGTGAATTCGTGAAGGGTAACAAGTCGCGGACATTAATAAAAAAAACCCCAGATTAGTTTTTTTTCGATGAGTAAAATAAATAAATAATTTATTTATTTATTTATTTTATTTTTTATGTATTTTGATGACGTTTACAAAATTTTTAACGTTAAGGTACAGACGATTTTTTTTTTTTTTTTATAATAAACTAGTTTAAAGAATTATTTGTAAATGAATCACGTCGTATACCTTTCTGTACCTTGATACCACATTTCTATGTGCGTGTGTGTTTGTAAATAATTTTTTTATTGCACGATTATTATTATTATTATTATTAATGCGTGGAAAACTTTCTTTTTTTGCTTTTGTTTTTGATTCGATTCTATGTGGATGAATGGTTTTTCTAATTATTTTTATTATTATTATTATTATTATTATTATTATTATTATTATTATTATTATTATTATTAATTTAAAAGAATTTAAAAAATTTTTAATTTCTTAATTAATTAATTAATTATTATTATTATCGGATTTTTCTTTTTCCCCCTTTTTTTTTTTGATTTATGTATTAATTCATTCATTAAAAAGGAATTTTTTATTCGTTCAAAAAAGGAAAAAAGGAAAAAAGGAAAAAAAAAGTGTGATAAAATGTAGATTTTTTTTGAAAGTAGTCAATTTTTTTTTTCCAATGGAAAAATAATTTTCCGCTTTTTTAAAAAGAATTTAATCGTATTAAATGTTAATTATTATTATTATTATTATTATTATTATTATTATTATTATTATTATTATTTATAATTAGTTAGGGGGATGAGGAGGAGGAGGGGGGAGAAGGAGGGGAAAAATAAAATTATTTTTAATTTGTGTCATAGTTTAAATAAAATATTTCCTTATCGCGCATCCAACGGTTTTTTTTTGTTTTCGGTTTCGATTTTGAAAATTGTTTATGACAAAAGGTTTTTTTGGGGGGCCAGGGGGAAAGAAGGGTGGGAGGTCGGGGATTGGCGGCGCGTGGTTAATCGTTACGATCGTAGAAAATTTTTTTTTTTTTTTTTTTTTTTTTATTAGCTTGTATATAAATTTTTTTCATTTTTTTTCAATTTTTTTTTTTATTTTTCAAAACGCGTTTTACGGTAAATAATAATAATAATAATAATAATAATAATAATAATAATAATAATAATAATAATAATAATAATAATAATAATAATAATAATAATTTTAGCGTTTTCGTTGCGATAAAAAATTATAAACCTTTAAAATCGTAAAATATATGTATGATGATGATGATAATAATAATAATAATAATAATAATAACAATAATAACAATAATAATAATAATAATAATAATAATAATAATAATAATAATAATAATAATAATAATAATAATAATAATAAAAATTGAAAAACAAGTTTTGGGATAAAAGAAAAAAAATGGAAAAAAAGGTTGTGTGTATTTTTTTTTTTTTTTTTTTTTTTTGTAATAAATTTTAATATATACGTGCGTCTCACCATTATTATTATCATTATCATCATTATTATTATCATCATCATTATTATTATTCGCGTATATATTTATGCTTTTTTTTTTTTTTATTAAACTGGGTTAGGTAAAATTTACGTATATAATACAGATATATTTTTTTCCATCCTAATGTAAATTATAGGATGGATAAAACTCGGATAGGGTTTTACGCACACGCACACGCACACACGCACCAAAGCGTCTCTTTTTTTTCTGTATGCATAGTAAATACGCATGTGCGTATATAAACGTATAAATTTTTCGATTCGGTTTATAGACTTTGTTGCGACAAAGTTTGCTCGTTTATGCGTGAATGGTGGAATTATGCGTGTTAATCTACTGAATCCAACGGATTTTTCATTCTTCTTTTTCTAAATCCTTAGAAACCTAGGTTGATACCTAGGTTAATACCTAGGAAAGTTGTTATCAGAGTAAATGATAATAATGACAAAAAAAATTAATAAAAGTTAAAACGAGTTGAATAATAAGAAAGGGGAAAAAAAAATTTCTTTTATTTAATTAACGACTACCTTGTTTGCCTAAATTTACCAAAACAACAAAAAAAATTAAATTTAAATTTAAATGTATGGAAATTTTTTTTTTTTTTTTTGATAAAAAATGACAGTGTACCGCGCATGCGCGGGAAAAAAAAAAATTTTCGCAACCTGATTTTTTTCTGTTTAAATCTTAAATTAAATTTTAATTCGTTTAAAGATCACGATTTGATTCAAAAACAGAAAAAAAAAAAAAAAAAAAAGTCGTCAGTAATTAATTAAAAACCTGTCGACGTGATTAAATCGGGGAGTCAGATGGGGAGTCAAAGAGGGAGGTAGAGAGGGAGAGAGGGAGGGGGAAGAGAATAAGGAAACCTTGTCACATTTACACATAACGCAATGAACTAATTTCAACTAAGGTTTTTTTTTTTTTCTCAATATAATACCTTATAATTATTTATGTGTGTGTGTGTATTTAAATTAATTCGTGATAGTATTATTATTATTATCATTTGTCGAATCGTGAACTATAAATTTTAATAATTTATTTATATAATAATAATAATAATAATAATAATTTTTTTTTATCCCTCTTCCCCCTTTTTTTCTCAATGGCAAAAAATTTATTTATTTATTTAATTACTGTAAAATACTACCTGTTTCTCTCTCTCTCTCCCTCTCTCTCTCTCCCTCCCTTCTCTCTCTCTCTTTCCCCTCTCTCTCTCTCCCTCTCAACAACAAAAAAAAAGTTTGTTTTTTAAATGAACCTTCAGGCTATTAATAAATCGATGGAAAATTTATTTCGTACGCAAGTTCCTACCACATTATTATCATTATTATTATTTTTTTTTTTTTTGTTTATTTATTAAATTTAATACCCGGCATTCCAATCCATAATCTTGTGCGTGTGTTTGTGCGTTTGTGTGCGTGTGTGCGTGTTCTTGTGTGCATTTTTGTGTGACGGAAGTCGTTTTTTTTTGTAAACTCGAGTTTGTTGTTGTTGTTTTTGTTTTGTTTTGTTTTCTTATCTTGCGTAATAGAAAATGGTGATTAATATAAAAAAACAAAATATTCGGATACGGAAAACAAATTAAAAATAATTTTTCTTTTTTTTTTTCGATAATTATAAACATCAACAACAAACAACAAACAACACACGGTCAAATTTATCCGTAAGTAATAAAAGAAAATGGAGGAGGCATTTAACACCATTATTACGACCTTAAATTATTTTTTTATGTATTTACATCTATCTATCTATGTATGTACGAACTTATTGATTCTCATGGTCAATGAAATTTTTTTTTTTTTTTTTGGGTTTATAATCGAGGTTGAAATAGGAAGAAGAAGAAAAAAAAGAAAAAATTTGATGTGTAAGTGTGTTACATTGAAATATGATGATGATTTTAATTTTAAATAGGAAGGAAAACATAATGGAATTGATTTGCACGTTTGTTTGTTTGTTTGTTTGTTTCCAATGGTGTTTGTTATATACGATAACAAAAGAATAAAATCCTTCAAAATTTTGATGCGATGCTATTAAACCTCATTACTTTTTTTTTTTTTTCATCATTTAAATTATATATATATATATATTTGTTAATAACTATTATTATTATTAGTTTAGTTGTGTCGAAAATTTATTTATTTATTTATTTTTTCACAAAGTGTAAATTATAATTAAAATTTTTTTGTTTGTTTGTTTGTTTGTTTCAGAAGGGATTTTCATTTTTTCCCAAATTGAAAGGGTGAAAATGTTAGGTTTTCCAAGGTGATGAAGGTATTTCCGGTTTGCCGAAATCAACATCGGCGTCACCGCGGTCGAAAACGTCACATACAAAATAAAAAAATTATTATCATTATTAATAATTATTTTTCAATTGAAAAAAATCCTCGGTAGCGATTAAAATATAAATTTACATAAACACATATATCATAGTTGAATAAAAGATATTTTTTAGATTTAATTTTAAAGGTAATTATTATTATTATTATTTTAAAAAAATTGAATTATACGTAACGTAATTTAATATTTTTTTTTTTTTGCCGCAGATAAAATGTTGTCAAGGAGAAATTTAGTTTTGCGTTTAAGCATTATATTAAATGTAATCGTGCTTTGCTATGTGGGTACGCATTTTGTATCATATAACAATATAGAATTAATAGAAGATGTTCAATCGAGTGGGAGAAACGTAGCTGTGATAGAATACAACACTAATATAAACGGTCAACAAAGTCAAGCATATCAGCAAAGCCAAGATTCAAAGACTTATTATTCTCAAACTAAAAGATATTATGAATCGTCGGGTAGAAGCATATCGGAGAGTCCAAACAATGGCGGTAGAAGTAAGGAAACGATGAGCGAATCGCAACAAAATTATCAGGTGAATAAAAGTTCCGAAATGCAAGTAGTTACGGGAAGTGAGGACGTCACGAAAGGTTTCGAAGAATCCATGATAATGACGATACCGAAAAAAACATCATCCGAATTTTCCGGGAGAGTCGTCATGATGGAATCGAATTTGAAAACGACACAAAGCAAATTAAATTCGTCTACGTTCGAAACGGCGTCGCCGTCGGAAAATCAAAGGAAAAAAGAAAAAAAAACATTGGAAAATGTTATCAGGTGCCATGATAGAGAGCCGAAGCACAGGACGTCTCAGAGAGGAGATTTTTGGGTTCTATATAATTACGTAATGTCTTCGCGTAGGTTTAGATGCCACGAATCCGTGACTTATACGACACATTCGGATTACACGTTTTTAGATAATTTAGAACCTCTTATCGAAAGGTGGCGAGGACCGGTTTCCCTCGCTTTGCACGCTCCCGGCACGGATTATAACACAACCGTAAACACGATACAATATTTGAGAAAATGCACGGCGAGTTCAAGTTTAATAAGGGAATTTGTGACGTTTCACGTGTATTTTGGGTCCAAGTACGTGCCTAAAAAAATATTAAAACCCGATGAAGTATTGAAAATTCAAGTTAATTGTTCTCAACCGCCGCCGTGGTCGAACGTAACCACCAAACAATTGTTTAAAACACAGAAGAAAATTTTTTATCCGGTCAACGTTGGTAGAAACATAGCGAGAGAATCCGCCGTCACGCATTACATACTACCTTCCGACATTGAACTTTATCCGAGTCCTGGTATCATAGATGATTTTTTGGATATGGTCCTCAGACAAGAACTTCCGCTGAGACGTAAAAATTTAAAAGTTTTCCCTCTGCCCATATTCGAATTAGAATCCGATGCTCCCGTGCCACGTAACAAAACTCAATTGGTATGTATATGTATATCGTTTTTCCTTCCTTTCCGGAAGTGACGGTTATAAAATTTTTTCTGTTTTGATTAGGTAAAAATGTTGAAAAATGGCAGAGCAATACCTTTTCATAAAAAAGTCTGTCCCGGATGTCACACGGTTCCTAAATTTAAAGAATGGGTTATGGCAAACGAAACGAAAGGTTTACACGTTTTCCACATAGGGAAAAGAATGGGTTATTACCTTCATTGGGAACCCATATTCATAGGAACACACGATGATCCCTTATACGAAGAAAGGTTAAGCTGGGAGGGTAAAAGTGATAAAATGACTCAGGTGAGTTTTCTCCCCCCCCCTTTCCACGCGAGCACGTGCACACCCACCCACACGCACGCACGATCGTAAACGTAATTTATTAATTTTTTATTTTAAACTTTCGCACGTCGGCCCCCATCTTAATTTATCATTATTATTATTTCGTTGGTTAATAAATTTAAATAATAATAATAATTTGCCGCCGCATTTTTTCCAATGATGCGGTATTATTAACATAAATTAACCTTGGAAAATGCTAAGTATGAGAATAAAAAAAAAATGTCAAACGTCGGATTTTTAACATTTTGTAAGAATACAAAGTTTAAATGGAAAAAGTTAACAATTCACACGCCCACGCATATATACGACGACGACGACGACAACGTGGTGTCGCGATACAATTTATCTATGCAAAAAAAAAAAAAAAAAATTGTTCGCCATATTTAAATATCTATTTAATTTTTTACACGATTGTTACCAAAAAGCTATTATTATTATTATTATTGTGATTTTTTTTTTTTGCAAATTTTTCACTATTTGTGTGTGTGTGTGTGTGTGTGTAATGAAATGAAGTCTTGCGTATAAAAAAAAAAATAATAATAATAATAATAATAAAGTGAGAAAACAATATGTCCAAGGTCTGTAATTTTGTTATTAGTTTGTTTAACAGAGTCGAGAATTTCTTTTCCTTTGACATTTTTTTTTGTTTCCTTTGAAGTCATTTGTTAATTCAAAGGTTATAAACGGATTTTTTTTCCTTTGATTCGATTGTTTTTGACGTGCGTGCGTGTGCGCGTGCGTTTGTGTGTGTGTGTGCGCGTATTGGAAAAAATTATTTTTCAAAAAGGATAATTATTATTATTATTACAGGGTTATGTTTTATGCGTTCTCGATTACGAATTTCACATATTGGACAATGCATTTCTATGTCACAAACCCGGTATAAAAACCGTTAAAAAGGATACGGCGAGAGCCATATTGGCGGCAAAAACAAATTCTCTTATACAAAAGGTTATACTTCCGGAATTGAAAGCTTTGTTCGGTACGAAAAAAGGTTGCGCCGTCTGACACAAAATCACAAATCATAAAAGGTTAGTTATTTATTTATTTAATTTATTTTCCTATCGGATTTTGATTCCTTAATGATAATAATAATAATAATAATAATAATAATAATAATAATAATAATAAACAAATAAGAGCCTTGTCGTGTTTAAGAGTGACCATAATAATATTAATAATAATAAATAATCAAAAAATGTCAACAAAAAAAAAAAAAAAACTTTTATTATTTTTTTAATTTTTATTAATTTTAGTTGTTTGTTGTTGTTGTTTGTTTGTCGTTGTTTGTTGTTTCGTTGTATGAAAACATTTTGATATACGTTAATTTTATCCGTCGGCTGCTTTCCCCCCCCCCTCCTCCCAAATTTTATTTCCTTTTTTTTTTTATAAAATTTTATAAATTTCGTGTTTTAAAAAAAATTAACTCTTAATTCATCCGACGGTTGTTATTTACTATTATTATTATTATTACGACGTCGACGCCATTTTTATAAATTCCAATAATAATAATAATAAGAAAAAAAAAATATTTCCACGTAATCAATCGATTTCAATTTCGAAGAAATGGTAAAAAAAAAAAAAATTGATTTTTTAACCACAGGAAACAGAAAAATTTGAATTCGTTTTTGGCGGTAAAAAATAACAATTTTTAATAATGGTATGGGTAATTTTTTTTTTTTACATATCGAAAATCGATTTTTATTATTATTATTATTATTATTATTATTTATCTCGTTTTAAAATTATCATCATTATCATTATGATTATTATTATTTTTTTCCAGGTATCAGAAATGAAAATTAAATTGATGATGTGTTTTTCAATGGTTGTTGTTCTAGTAAATACGAAATGATGATACTTGGAAGCGGAAGGAGGGGGAGGGGAGGGGACGGAAGGGAAGGAGGGGAAAGGAGGCGGGAAAAGGGAAAGGGGAGGGGAAGAAGTATTTTCTAGTCTGATTTGCTCACTACTACGGTTACATTCGATATATAAAACAACGTGTATTTTTTATTATAATGACACGTGCATCGCGAATTTATATTGAAATTATCAAGACAATCTTGAATCGATTAATCGATCGATAGATCGATCTATCGTTGGGGGGGAAATTCGACGTTGTTTACATTTTTTTCTTTCCGGGTATTGTTTTTCGCGATTATATCATTACAAAAACAAAATGTCCGCCAAA